GAAAGAGAGGGGGGGGAAGAGAGGGAGAAATAAATCACAGACGCCACATTAAAGAATAAGCACAAGCCAGAGAAGATATTGGGCAGATGCAGGAACAGCAAGACAAGGCCAGAAGTGGCACTACCTTGAATTTGGAGGGGATGAAAATGTAGTACTGCTGTAGTTTTTCAACTGTCTGATATTTGGAAGAAACAGCACACTTAACAGGATTCTTCAGAGCAGCACGCTGGAGTTTTTGAACCTGGGAAGTTCAAAGAGAGATCTTATCAGAAACTGGTATCATATACTCTAGTCATATAGCCTGATGGAAGGAGAATTAAAACTCTGGTCTCACCTTCTTTGTCATGGTAGCAGAAAACAGTAGCGTCTTCCTGTCTCGAGGGATCACTTTTAAGATCTTATCCACCTGTAAAAATAGAAAGAAATAGAAATGCTGAATAAAACAGCCATCAAGACATAAGCCTCCTCAAATATTATGATCATCCAAATGAAGAGTAATGCCTGCATGCAACTGAGACTCGCAGCAGGATCAAACTTCCCCTCTGCTAAAGGAAAGGTGTAGACCAATCGCTTATTGACAGTGTGAACTCCAGCAGTCCATTAGCAGTGCAAACCTCATGCAATACTCCTGCAGGAACGTGCAGGTGGCGTGTTCCACAGTAACTGCATCAATGTCAGGTGTTCCAGAAAAAACAGCAGATTTCAGAAACAAAATGCCTCCTATTGTCTTACCAGTGCTCTGCAGAACTCTGCTAAGTTCTTCTCCCACCAGGTAAGTCCCATAGACTTCTGTGCAATTGTTAGATCTTGGTTACAATTTACTATTAATTTCTACAGAACAGCTCAGCGTTTACTATAGATTGAAGTGATTTCAAAGGGACTCGTGGTGTTCCAAGCTCTTTTTTTAGCAGATTGCTACCTCGGTCTCAAAATCCATGTTAAGGATCCGGTCAGCCTCATCCATCACGAGGAACTTCAGAGCTCGTAAGTTGAAGCCCTTCGTGTTCTCCAGATGATCAACCAGACGGCCAGGGGTTGCTACCAACAAAATAATGAGAGCAAGTTTAGAATGGAAGGAAAAGATACAAAGAGTCATTACTTATGGAGATGGATTCTTTTCCCAAGAGAAGTAAAGGCAGACTGTGTTGTGGGAAGGACTCTTTCATAGGGTATCTTCAGAACGTTTTGAAATCAGATTAATGGAGTCAGACTCTCTGAAGCATGCCCTCCTTCCTCCTCAAGAAAATGCAAAAAAGAGACTGTAGACGAGCCGTACTGAGAAGGATGAGACCAGCATTTTGAATACTTCAGCAGAACGAAGAAACTAGGAATGTTCTGGAATGAAGTTGTAGCAGCAAGGCTACTGGTGTAGCCTTTAGAAACATGAACCAGGCAGTACCCAGATCTCAGGACAAAACAAAATGAAGAATGCACTCTTACTTCTCCTTCAAATGAACTAAACCTTTGGCCCTCTTTCTCTGGATAACTACAGTTTGATTAACTCATACTTTGTAGCCCACAAACTTACCAATTATAACATGTGGTTTCTTGGCCAAGGCCAGAGATTGAGACATTGTGTCAATTCCACCAACAATAACCGCTGCAGGACAAACAGAATACAGTGAAACATTCAGTGTAGTACCAGCCAGGCCCTGGCACCAGTTTATTCCTCCTCCCTGCCACCCATGACAACTGTGTACAAATGAAAGGCTACTTATCTTTATGAGAACTCACTTTATTTTAGCACAGCTGACCTTCCCAAGCCTCCTAAGTCCTTACTGGCCCCGAGTATTTTATTTTCACAGTTGAAGAGCTACAGGCAGAATACTTGCAGCTTTACTCAGATGCAAAAATAGAGGAATTCTAAAAATACCCACAAAGCTTTTGTGTTTGTAGAGAATGTGAGCCACCAATACACACAGTCTGAAAGAAATATTAACCTACATCACACTATAGAGTGGAGCTCTATGCAATTTCACTGGACACAAACTTACTATCAAGAAGATGCTTCCACCTTTTAACTGGGTGGGCATTGTTCGGGCATATCATGCAGAAGAGCTGCAGACTACTCCATAAGGAAAGACCATGCTGTCTTTCTTTCCCAAAACTAATACCAGATATCTGTCTTACAGCATCACAAACTTTTCCCACCTTTTGGTCAATCCTCCATACAAATCCTTTCTACTTTTTCCTTTGCAGTCTAGAGCTGACAAACTTCAGTCTTCATGAAAACTGCTCCAATATCACAATGCTACTTACCACTGTGGACACCAATGGAGGATCCAAGAGCCTCAAACTGCTCAGAGATTTGGAAGGCCAGCTCCCTTGTTGGTGTAAGAACAAGAGCAAATAATCGCTGAGGTGTTTCCAGCAGTGCTTGAAGAATTGGCAAAGCAAAGGCTCCTGTTTTTCCAGAGCCAGTTTCTGCCAGTCCAATGACATCTCTGCCTACAAGGAGCAGCAAGAAGGGCAAAAACTGTCACAAATCTAGACCAGAGAAAGAAGCCTTTAAAGCACAAGAATTCCCTAAGGATGGGGTGAAGAGGGCAGAAAAGACACATAAAGGGTAAAGAAGAGCAACGGGCCAGACCAAAGAACTGCAGCATTTTTAGAGTTAATTCATTTGTACAACAATTACAGTCTTGATTCTTTCCATTCTCTAGTTAAACTGCTGCAAATATACAGGTTTTCATATAAAATTTAGGTTCAAAACACCCTTTATTATATCTCAAATCTGCCTGTCAACTTACAGCCTATCGCTTCTATCTGGCTAAGTATTCTACACCAACTGTTGTCTGTTTACAGGCTTACAAAGAAATAGACTTAAGTGTTTGAGACTTGAGTTATATCAACTACAAGAAAAAAGCATTACCTAACTCATATTTCACAAGCCACAATCAAGTCTGTGCCATTGCTTCATGGTTTACAGCAAGAAGGATTAGAACAGCAAATCCTTTGCCCAAAACCAGTGAAGACAATGGCACAGAATTCATCAATAGAATCTATTCTAACCTCCTACACTCCTACAGCTGAGAAAAATATGCCGCCAAGAGGCCTTAAACTGGAGACAACCTCTCAGGATTGCAATCTTACCTTTGGTTTTTTTTTTTTAAGAGAATCTTACATGTGGTGTAAGAGAGTCTGACAACAGTTAAGTACTAGGACAGAGTTGACATTGAAAGGTTTATTCTTATTCTGTCACTACACTGTTGTGTTCCTGCTTCACAGTGTTTTGCTTTTTTTAAACCTAACAAAGAAAAAAAACAAACCCAAAAACTAATAAAACAGTCTCACAAAACAAAACACACACACAAAAAAAAACCCCACCAAAAAACCCAACAAACAAACAAAACAAAACCACAATCAAAAAAGCCACAAAACCAAATATTCCAGAAGCAGAAATGTTTGCCGAATTCAGTAATTTATTTTCCTGTAATTCCATGATGGTTACAGAAAGTCACTGTGGTTTGGTTATTACCTACTCCAGAAATCTAATTTCAAAGCACTGCCTGCTCAGACCAAAGCAGATTATACAAGCTGCATAATCAGTCAAGACACCTCCAATTTCACACACACGCTGTAGTTCTCTACTAGAACAGGCACAGTCCTAAATCTATCAGATCTTCCCTGTATATCCTTGAGTATTTTGGAAAGGAAATGGTCAATGCAGATTAGCAGCAAAAATGATCAACAGTAATTCTATTTAACATGAAGTGTCAGAGCTATGCAACACGACTGAACACTCAAGAACCCACATTTGTACCTATTTGAAAGTTTGCAATTGCAGTCAGTGTTACAGAAGAAATTGCTATTCCAAGCTGCATCTGGGAGGACAGAAGAATGAACACAAGCACTACTTCAAGGCACAGATCTTAAGTAATGAAGAAGCGAGAACACTCTCATCCTGCCACTTCTCACTTAGCAAAATTCATTGACATATTGCTCCTGAGGCATTCCCAGATTTGGGATCAGAGAGGCACACTGCTCACCTTGAAGTGCCACTGGAATAGCCTCAATTTGGATCTTTGTTGGCGTCTTCCATCCTAACTGGTCACAAGCTTCACACAGGACATCTGTCACCCCCTGAACATCAGTGAAAAGAGAGAAAGCAAAAAGACATCACCAAGGAGACCTAAATTTAAACACACAGTTAAGTTATATCAATGCTAAAACAGAGCCAAGCTTGTCTATTGCAGGGACAAACCTCATCAGGGCCTCAATGCAACTACATAAAAGGGCAGGCTGCTCACAGTAATCCCCCCTCCACCAGCAACTTCATAGATTGGTTCAAAACTGTTCGAGGCGACTGCCAGCAGTAAGAAACTTGCCATTTTCTCCTAGTTTACAACAGGAACTTTACACACACCCCAGCTCCCTCTCCTCCCCTCTAGGGGTATCCCACGAGCACGGAAAAGGGAAAAAGCCTGCGCAAGTTAACACAACTGAAAGAAACCCAGGCAACCAGCTGAGGAACACAGACCGGAGCAGAGGCCTGACCTCCCCACACCTCCCCATGCCCGGCC